CTCACAAAAAGAAAGCCATCTTCAACCTCAGCAACATGAAGTGGACGAAGGATTAGAGGAAATCCAACCCCAAATAGGGAAAGAAGTCATCCAGGAATACCTGGCCGCTCTAAACGAATTCAAGACATAGAATCATAGAGTTGGAAGAGACCTCATGGGCCATCCAGTCCCATTCTGCCAAGAAGCAGGAAAATTGCATTGAAAGCACCCCTGACAGATGGTCATCCAGCCTCTGCTTAAAAGCCTCGAAAGAAGGAGCCTCCACCACACTCCGGGGCATAGAGTTCCACTGCTGAACAGCTCTCACAGTCAGGAAGTTCTTCCTAATGTTCAGGTGGAATCTCCTCTCTTGTAGTTTAAAGCCATTGCTCTACATCCTAGTCTCCAGGGCAGCAGAACACAAGCTTGCTCCCTCCTCCCTATGACTTCTCCTCACATATTTATACATGACCATCATGTCTCTTCTCAGCCTTCTCTTCTTCAGGCTAGACATGCCCAGCTCTTGAAGCCACTCTTCATAGGGCTTGTTCTTCAGACCCTTGATCATTTTAGTCGCCCTCCTCTGGACACATTCCATCTTGTCAACATCTCCCTCCAATTGTGGTGTCCAGAACTGGACACAGTATTCCAGGTGTGGTCTGACCAAGGCAGAATAAAGGAGTAGCATGATTTCCCTGGATCTAGACACTATACTCATATATATATATATATGGAGGCCAAAATCCCATTGGCTTTTTTTTTTGCTGCCCCATCATATTGCTGGCTCATGTTTAACTTGTTGTCCACGAGGACAACTAAGATCTTTTTCACACGTACTGCTCTCGAGCCAGGCATCGTCCCCCATTCTGTCTCTTTGCATTTCCTTTTCTCTGCCTAAGTGGAGTATCTTGCATTTGTCCCTGTTGAACTTCGTTTGGTTATTTTGGCCCATTATCTCTCTAATCTGTTGAGATTAGATGTTGATGTTTAGCGGGACCTTGCTGATGGCACTCCACTCGTCACTTCTTTCCCAGATGAAGAGGAAGCATTGGGGAGAATCACCCTCTGGGTTCGTTCGCTTAACCAATTACAGATCCACCTAACCATAGTTTTGTCTAGCCCACATTGGACTAGTTTGTTTGCCAGAAGGTCATGGGGGACCATGTCTAAGTAAGGCCTTACTGACGTCCAGATACGCTACATCCACAGCATTCCCCGCATCTACCCAGCTTGTAACTCCATCGGAAAAAAAGATCAGACGATTCTGGCATGACTTGTGTTTGAGAAATCCATGTTGATTATTAGCTATGACCGCATTCGTTTCTCAGTGTTTGAAGACCACTTCCTTAACAATCTTTTCCAGAATCCAGCCTGGTTTGCTCAACAGTCTTCCTTCCTGAGCTAGCCAGGTTGCTCTCGAGGTTGGCCTTGGTCTCAGTGGCTAATAGTGCTAGGAGACTTCAACATCCAAGATGAGACTGCCCTGTCAGGAGTGGCTCAGGACTTCATGGCCTACATGACAACCATGGGTCTGTCCTAGGTGGTGTCTTACTCTACCCATGCTATGCAGGATGGGATTGTGGTGATGGTGATGGTGGTGTGGAGGAACTGGCCACTATTCTGTTGTCATGGACTGACCACTACCTGGCCAGGTTTAGACTCGCTGGGTCTCCAAACCTCTGCAGGGGTGGGAGACCGACTAAGACGGTCCGTCCCAGGAGGCTTATGGATCCGGATGAATTCCTGAGAGCTCTTGGGGACTTTCCTGTCACCTTGACAGGCGATTCTGTTGAAACCTTGGCTCACCTCTGGAATGGAGAATTGGCTGGGGTGGTGGACACAATCATTCCTGAAGGTCCCCTCTCATGGAGCAGAGCCAAAGCAGCCCCTTGGTTTTGCAAGGACTTGGCAGAGATGAAGCAAGTGAGATGGAGACTCAAGCAATGTTGGTGGAGATCTCAAAGCAAATCTGACCTAGCCAACAATGTGATGCAGCAGCTTAAAAGCTTATGTGATTTTGGGTGCATCCCCAGAAATGTCGTGTTTACATTAAGGGAAGTCACAGTGAGCTTCTTTCTGCTTTGGTTAGACTTCACCTGGAATAACACTGTGTCCGATTCTGGGCAACACAATAAAAACTGGAACATGTCCAGATTCCATTTCTGATTCTACATATCAATTACGAAATGGTTCTTAACTGTGACCAGCCAGATGTTTCTACAAGACTCAAACTATGGCACGGAGGCCTTAGTCCTTTCCCTTTCAAACATCCAACAGGAATATAAATCTGTTTTAACAAGTGTCTTGTAATTATTTCTCTTGATGGCCCTGATGTGAGAAGGAAATGTGTTCTTTTCCCACCAGGGCCCAATCGCCTTTGAGGACGTGGCTGTGCATTTCTCCGTGGAGGAGTGGGCTCTCCTGAATCCTGGTCAGAAAGTCTTGCACTTGCAGATCATGGGGGAGATTCATGGGATTGTGGACTCTCTTGGTAAGGCTCCCTCACTCGTGGGGGAGAAATGCAGCATCCCAATCAGCAGCTCCCTGGTGGGAGCAGGATCCCAAATCATCTTAATCTCTGGCAGTTCTCAAGGCAGGGCTTATGTTAGAAATGTATAACATAAGGGTGATATTGACTTGGTGCCTGAGCAACAGCCATTTTAGCACCATTTTGGACTCCAGAGGGAAGTCAAGTCCAAGCTCCCTTGCAGCACCAGGGCCCCCTCGAAAACATTTCAAGAGTGATCTCCCCAGATCAGTCTCTCTCTCTCTCTCTGTGTGTGTGTGTGTGGTGTGTGTGTGTGTGTGTGTGTGTGTGTGTGTGTGTGAGGAAGAGGCAGGGGAAGGGGAAGGGAAAAGGATGGGGGAGCAAATATTCAATAAGTAACCCAGCAAACCTCTCCTGACTTCAGGCACACCTTTTCAGCCACCTGCTTTTGCATCCTGTGTGCCCTTGGACGGCTTGGAAAGCCACTGCATACAGTGTTCCTTTGCGGTTTGCTTTTAATGGATTTGCTGTTCCGCAGATTTTTTAAAAATATTAATTTAAAATATATGTCATGGTATTTTCACTGTTTTGTGAGTTTTTGCCGCCACCGCTCTCCGAGGCGCTTTCCCTCCTCAGTCCTCCCTGCCTCCCTCCCTCCAACCTTGAAGGGCCTTTCCTTCCTTCCTTCCTTCCTTCCTTCCTTCCTTCCTTCCTTCCTTCCTTCCTTCCTTCCTTCCTTCCTCCCTCCCTTCCTCCCTTCCTCCCTTCCTCCCTTCCTCCCTTCCTATCCTTCACTTTATTTTAAGTTTATAAAGACTTAAAATAGTGTATACCTACTAAAATAAGGTATAAATATTAAAATAAATAGAGCGTCCCTACTTTGCGGTTTTTCACTTATTACGGGAGGTCCTGGAACGTAACCCCCGCAATAAGTTAGGGAACACTGGATGGAAAATGATGGGAAAGAGTGGTTTGGCAAAAGCAGACTTGCTTTTGATGTCTGCTGACAAGCTTCTTCTGGGGCTCAAAGGAACTTTATTGGAGAATAGAGCATTAAAAAACTTCCCCTGGCTTTAGATATGGAGACAGAGCAATACATATTTTCATCAGGGAGATATTCCATTTTGTTTTTCTTCCCTGCTCTGCATGTCTAAAGGCCGGGCTCTCTTTGGACGCTGCTTCTCCCAGCACACAAACTGTCCCTTGCCTCAGTCATTGGCAAGATGGTGATTGGCAACATAATTAAACTCAAACTACAAGAAAGGAGATTCCATCTGAACATGAGGAAGAACATCCTGACTGTGAGAGCCGTTCAGCAGTGGAACTCTCTGCCCCGGAGTGTGGTAGAGGCTCCTTCTTTGGAAGCTTTCAAACAGAGGCTGGATGGCCATCTGTCAGGGGTGCTTTGAATGCAATATTCCTGCTTCTTGGCAAAATGGGGTTGGACTGGATGGCCCATGAGGTCTCTTCCAACTCTTTGATTCTATGATTCTATAATGTGTTCTATGTTCTGTGGTTGGGAATGGTTGAGGCTCAGGGTTTTTGTTTTTCATTTTTTGGTTTTTTTTGTTTACAGTCACATGGGGAGAGAGAAAGAAAAAGAAAGGAATGATTGTTGAATGGGTGGTAACAGGATACAATTTTAGCTAGGAAAAAAAAGGCAACGATTTGAATGTGAAGGGAAAAGGGAGGAGGAGTCAGAATAAAAAAAACATGCTGGGCTGAGCAACAGGCATTTGTTGTTCATTCGTTCAGTCGTCTCCGACTCTTCGTGACCTCATGGACCAGCCCATGCCAGAGCTCCCTGTCGGCCGTCACCACCCCCAGCTCCTTCAAGGTCAGTCCAGTCACTTCAAGGATGCCATCCATCCATCTTGCCCTTGGTCAGCCGCTCTTCCTTTCACCTTCCACTTTCCCCAGCATCATTCCCTTCTCTAAGCTTTGCTGTCTCCTCATGATGTGGCCAAAGTACTTCAACTTTGTCTCTAGTATCCTTCCCTCCAGTGAGCAGCCGGGCTTTCTTTCCTGGAGGATGGACTGGTTGGATCTTCTCGCAGTCCAAGGCACTCTCAGCACTTTCCTCCAACACCACAGTTCGAAAGCATCGATCTTCCTTCACTCAGCCTTCCCTAAGGTCCAGCTCTCACATCCGTAGGTTACTACAGGGAATACCATGGCTTTGACTAGGCGGATCTTTGTTGCCAGTCTGATGTCTCTACTCTTTACTATTTTATCGAGACTGGACATTGCTCTCCTCCCAAGAAGGAAGCGTCTTCTGATTTCCTGGCCACAGTCTGCATCTGCAGTCATATTTGCACCTAGAAATACAAAGTCTGTCACGGCCTCCACATTTTCTCCCTCTATTTCCCAGTTGTCACTCATTCTTGTTGCCATAATCTTGGTTTTTTTTGATGTTTAGCTGCAACCCAGCTTTTGCGCTTTCTTCTTTCACCTTGATTAGAAGGCTCCTCAGCTCCTCCTCGCTTTCGGCCATCAGAGTGGTGTCATCTGCATATCTGAGGTTGTTAATGTTTCTTCCAGCAATTTTCACCCCAGCCTTGCATTCCCCAAGCCCCGCACATCCTCGCATGATGTGTTCTGCATACAAGTTAAAAAGGTTGGGTGAGAGTATGCAACAGGCATACTCTGGAACATAAGTTACTCAGCTCACCTTTAGAGGGTCCAGGCAGTCAAACAATGTCAATTGTTAATGAACAAGGGGTGAGAAAAAGGCAGCATTTATATCTTTAGACTCTTTATCACTCATGCTGAGGAATGATTGTTTCTGTCCTTCTTCTTCACAGCAGGTAAATGGAAGAAGAGCAATGTATACACCAAACACAGTAAGCATCCCGGGCACAATGAGGGCTTTCCTGGACACCAGCAAAGCTACATTGAAGACGGAGCTCCTGCCAAAGAAAGGCCCTTCCTATGCAATACATGCGGGCAGTGTTTTAGACATTATATGGGACTTGTGCTTCACAAGACTCTTCATGCTGAGAAAAGGCATCTTAAATGGAAAGTATCAGCAAAATGTGTTGCTGATTACAAATTGCTACATCTCAGCCAAGAAGAAATATTTGAAGGAACTGAAGATTGCATAAAACAGGAGTGTGTGGAATCTATTATCCAGAGTTCACACTTGGAGAAACATGGGAGATTTCCCACAGGAGAGAATTCATACCAATGCCAGCAGTGTGGGAAATGTTTTGCTGACAGTTCAGCCTTGTTGAAGCATAAAAGAGTCCACACAGGAGAGAAACCATACCAATGCCAAGAGTGTGGGAAATGTTTTGGTTACAGTTCACACTTGGTGAACCACAAAAGATTCCACACAGGAGAGAAGCCATACCAATGCCAGGAGTGTGGGAAATGTTTTAGTTACAGTTCACACTTGGTGAGGCACAAAAGACTCCACGCAGGAGAGAATCCATACCAATGCCAGCAGTGTGGGAAATGTTTTGCTGACAGTTCAGCCTTGGTGAAGCATAAAAGAGTCCACACAGGAGAGAAACCATACCAATGCCAGGAGTGTGGGAAATGTTTTAGTTACAGTTCAGTCTTGGTGAGCCACAAAAGACTCCACACAGGAGAGAAGCCATACCAATGCCAGGAGTGTGGGGAATGTTTTACTCGGAGTTCAACCTTGGTGAGCCACAAAAGGATCCACACAGGAGAGAAGCCATACCAATGCCAGGAGTGTGGGATATGTTTTAGTTACAGTTCAAGCTTGGTGAGCCACAAAAGACTCCACACAGGAGAGGAGCCATACCAATGCCAGGAGTGTGGGAAATGTTTTACTCGGAGTTCAACCTTGGTGAGCCACAAAAGGATCCACACAGGAGAGAAGCTATACAAATGCCAGGAGTGAGGGAAATGTTTTGTTTCGTTCAGACTTGATAAGCCACAAAAGACTCCACACAGGAGAGAGGCCATACCAATGCCAGGAGTGTAGGAAACATTTTGCCCGGAGTTCATACCTTGTGAGCCACCAGAAAATTCATAGAGGAGAAAAACCATCCAAAGAGCTGGGACAAAAGTAATAACATGAATTGCAGTAGGGAAATTGCAGGTACTAGACCTTCTGGTGCTGTAGAGTAGAGTATGCATTCAACATTTCCTGATGAGCACGTGCTATTCCTTTGACTTTAGCTAGCACTTGGCTTGACTTTGGACGAAGACAATTATCTTCTTGTTTTCAAAGTCTTTTCAGGGTTGTTGTGTGTTTGTTTGTTTGTTTTTGCTTTGTTTGACTTGTTACTGTTTTGGAGAACTCTTTTGCTTCTCTGGTCACGGGCATCACCATGGGACTGGAGTGGCTTTCCTCTGTTTAATCCCTCGTGGGTAAACATCCGATTTCAAACAGGACCATTTGAGAAGTTCTGCCTACGATTTGGTAGAGTCCACTTTCTTGCCCTCTGAATTCCTAACCTGGGGTTCTCTTCTCTGGAGGAGCAGAAAGCAACCTCCCTGTGACAATCCTTCAGAGAGTTAAATACAATTGTCATGTCATTTATTTTAAAAAATAAACCATATGTAATTCCATCAGTTGTTCCTCTGGGCTTAGTTCCCAGCTCCTTTACCACCTTGGTTGCTAATGTCTTTCAGCTGGGATTCCAGAAATGAACTCGGTGCTTCTTTTGGAGGGGCAAATTGTATCTCTGGCTAGCATTTATTGTCTGCTTCCTTGCTCCTGGCACATATATTTTTAGAATTAACCATTGCTTGAGAAAATCTAATTACCAGTAAAGAGATTAACATATTTATGCAAATCTAAGGCGCACCCTTTTTAGCTAAGTGACCGTGCCAAAATTGAGGTGCGCATTACATTTGTGTAATATGGTAAAGTGTGGGCGGGCAAAGGCATTCACACAGGAGAGGCAGCGGGAACATGCACAAGCCTTACTGCCTGCCCCATAACGCCTTTGTCTTCGCCTCCTCCACTCCCGAGGCCCACAAGGGCCAAAGTCATAGAATCATAGACTCAAAGAGTTGGAAGAGACCTCATGGGCCATCCAGTCCAACCCCCTGCCAAGAAGCAGGAATATTGCATTCAAATCACCCCTGACAGATGGCCATCCAACCTCTGTTTAAAAGCTTCCAAAGAAGGAGCCTCCACCACACTCCGGGGCAGAGAGTTCCACTGCTGAACGGCTCTCACAGTCAGGAAGTTCTTCCTCATGTTCAGATGGAATCTCCTCTCTTGAAGTTTGAAGCCATTGTTCCGCGTCCTAGTCTCCCAAGGAAGCAGAAAAAAGCTTGCTCCCTCCTCCCTGTGGCTTCCTCTCATGTATTTATACTTGGCTATCATATCTCCTCTCAGCCTTCTCTTCTTCAGGCTAAACATGCCCAGCTCTTTAAGCCGCTCCTCATAGGGCTTGTTCTCCAGACCCTTGATCATTTTAGTCGCCCTCCTCTGGACACATCAAATGGACTGAGGAGCAAAGGCATAAGTTGGATATCAAGTGCGCCATCAAAACTTCAGTAATATCCATTCAATTTTGGGCTCTATTTTGGTTTTATTTATCATTCTAACAAAGTGGATGAAAATCTGCCCCTCACTGAGTTACAACATACAACACAATAGCCCACTTGTACACAGAAAGAAAAATAAATCGGTTCAGCCAGTAATGTGACTGGTGAAATTTACTATACAGTTCCAAATCATAGCATTCACAAAACAATATTATATGCGTTTGGTTCAGTAACTCAAAAAAGTATCAATGCTGTATGTTCTTGCGTTGAGTTGAACTTAAATCCGTTGTCTGTAGTTAATACTTTTAACTACGGTCTATGATTGGGGATGGAACATCTGCATGATTGTGTAAGTGTGAAAGTTGTGAAACGTTGTCCCTGTCCGGGCTATCCCACACCCGCTGATCAAGGATAAGCCATTCTAGGTTCTTGTGGGTTTTTTCGGGCTATAGAGCCATGTTCTAGAGACATTTCTCCTGACGTTTCGCCTGCATCTATGGCAAGCATGCTCAGAGGTTGTGAGACCTCACAACCTCTGAGGATGCTTGCCATAGATGCAGGCGAAACGTCAGGAGAAATGCCTCTAGAACATGGCTCTATAGCCCGAAAAAACCCACAAGAACCTAGTGATTCCAGCCATGAAAGCCTTCGACAATAAGCCATTCTGGTTGCATTTCCCGGTCAGGTGTTAGTTGTGTGAGAATTTGGAATCTGTTGTGTAACTGCAGCTGAGAAGTAGTGTTCTGAGGAGGCTTCCTGGTCCTATGTCTCTTTCTAAGGGTGGCATTCCTCCAAGCCTGAGGGTTGTCCACATCTGAGGTGGTTTCCTCCTGAAACTCCCCATAATGTTGGTGTGACGTGGGTTGCGTGTCTAGAAGAGTGTGCTGTGTGGTGTCCAAGAACAGCTTGAGTTCCTGAATGTCCTTAAGACATCTTCAGTCCTTTGGTTCCTTAAGACATCTTCAGTTCTTGGCTTCCATCACTTGGAGAGATGCTCTTTCCCCCTCCTTCCAGGGTAATGCTGGGCAAGGAAGGGTTAAGGGGAGGGAGTGTGGTTCCCAGAGAGGCAGGAAGGAAGTGGGCCTCCTTAGACCTGCCTTTCTTGTCCCTCTAGGAACCACACTCTCTCCCCTTAACCCTTCCTTGCCCAGCTGGGAGAGAAGAGGGGAGCCTCCCCCTTTGGCCTCTCCCTGCTTCTCCCCCTCCTTGCAAGGTGTTACTTCTCTTCCTCCATCTCCTTGCAGTCTTTTCCTTCTTCTTCTTCTCCTTCTCCTCCTGGTGAGTCTTCTTCCCAGACCTTCTCCAAAGGGCCAAAGAGGGGCTGAAGCCCAACACACCTGGAAGGAGGGCCAAAGTGGGCCCAAGCCTCATTCAGTCACAGAACAATGGCTTCAAACTACAAGAAAGGAGATTCCACTTGAACATCCTGAGTGTGAGAGCCGTTCAGCAGTGGAACTCTCTGCCCCGGAGTGTGGTGGAGGCTCCTCCTTTGGAGGCTTTGAAACAGAGGCTGGATGGCCATCTGTCAGGGGTGATTTGAATGCAATATTCCTGCTTCTTGGCAGAATGGGGTTGGACTGGATGGGCCATGAGGTCTCTTCCAACTCTAGGATTCGATGATTCTATTGTAACTTCCTGACTGTGAGAGCCGTTCAGCAGTGGAACTCTCTGCCCTGGAGTGTGGTGGAGGCTCCTTTTTGGAAACTTTTAAACAGAGGCCGGATGGCCATCTGTTAGGGGTGATTTGAATGCATTATTCCTGCTTCTTGGCAGAATGGGGTTGGACTGGATGGGCCATGAGGTCTCTTCCAACTCTATGATTCGATGATTCTATGATTCTATTGTAACTTCCTGACTGTGAGAGCCATTCAGCAGTGGAACTCTCTGCCCTGGAGTGTGGTGGAGGCTCCTTTATGGAAACTTTTAAACAGAGGCCGGATGTCTATATGTGTTCTGTGTCTATGGCACTGAATGTTTGGCATGTATATGTACATTGTAATCTGCCCTGAATCCCCTGTGGGGTGAGAAGGGCGGAATATTGTGTCCAATTCTGGGCACCGCAATTCAAGAGAGATATTGACAAGCTGGAATGTGTCCAGAGGAGGGCGACTAAAATGATCAAGGGTCTGCAGAACAAGCCCTATGAGGAGCAGCTTAAGGAGCTGGGCATGTTTAGCCTGAAAAAGAGAAGGCTGAGAGGAGACATGCTAGCCATGAATTAATATGTGAGAGGAAGCCACAGGGAGGAGGGAGCAAGGTTGTTTTCTGCTGCCCTGGAGACTAGGACACGGAACAATGGCTTCAAACTACAAGAGAGGAGACTCCATCTGAACATGAGGAAGAACTTCCTGACCGTGAGAGCCGTTCCGCAGTGGAACTCTCTGCTCCGGAGTGTGGTGGAGGCTCCTTCCTTGGAAGCTTTTAAACAGAGGCTGGATGGCCATCTGTCAGGGGTGCTTTGAATGCAATATTCCTGCTTCTTGGCAGAATGGGGTTGGACTGGATGGCCCATGAGGTCTCTTCCAACTGTTGGATTCTATGATTCTATGAATATAAATACTGTAAATAAATAAGATGTGAATAAGGGAAGAGAGGGGCCGGAGTGAGAGTGGGGAGAGCGAAGGAAGGATAGAAAGGAGGGGACACTTAGGGTAAGGGTTAGGGTAAGGGTTTTTTTTAGAATTTTTTTTAAAAGGTAATACACCGACCATATACATTGGAGACATATACACATACGCATACACATACATAGACCACCCGCCACCCACAGTACAGTTACCCCTCAACCGACCCCCAGTGCTACCCACCACCTTGGCTTCCGTCTCTGATCCCTGCAGAGTTTATGCACATTTTGTTTAACCCTCTATGCTTCTAGCTCAATAAATTCCTCTTGTTTTTATTTCTTTAAACCTCCCGTCAAGTATGCTAAGGTCAGCTTCCAGCATCTTTCAAATATTTCATGATTTTCATATTTCTAATTGCTAGAAATCTTAGGAGACCAAGGCTGCCTCAGTTCCATGACCCGGTCTGAAGCCAGACTGCGACGGATCCAGATAATCAGTGTCATCTCCCACAATTCCTATCAGCCTTCCTAACAGCCTTGTTTCTTTCTTACAAGAAAGGTTATGGATTATGAGGCATCAGCTGAAGGAATCGCAGGGGGATTCAGTGTGGGTTGGGACTGAATGGGAGCTCAATGGGAGGCCAGGTGGGCCTGGAGGCCGGAGGAGCAGAGGCCCAAGTGGAAGGAGGGCCCAGCATTACCTGGCTCTGAAATAAATGAAGGGCTTGTTCTTTTTACTCTCCAAGAAAAAAACCTCCTGGAGCCTGTGGTCTAATTCTGCCCTTATTTCACAGAGGAAATGTGATTGTTGCCTGAGCATTTTGGAGTTGAGCCTGTTGAGGGATTTTTTTCCCAGGGAAGAAAGGCATTTTGGATACAGTTTGGTTCTTCATCCATCAGTGGTTCCAACATGGAGAGACCCAACTCACCTGGACGTGAAGCAGACAGGGACTCTGGGGGATTCGGGGAAAGGACTACACAGACGTTCCTGAATGTGCACATATGGTGCCAGCACTTTAGGCATTCCTCCTTCCGAGAGGGCGAGGGACCCAGAGAGATTTGCAGCCGCCTCCACTCTCTCTGCCGCCAGTGGCTGAAGCCAGAGCGACACACCAAGGCGGAGATGCTGGACCTGGTGATCCTGGAGCAGTTCCTGAGCATCCTGCCCCCAGAGATGGGGAGCTGGGTCCGAGAGTGTGGGGCAGAGACCTCTTCCCAGGCGGTGGCCCTGGCGGAAGGCTTCCTCCTGAGTCGGGCAGAGGACGAGAAGCAGGAAGGACAGGTGAGAGCATTGCCTCTTGGTTCCATTCACCTTGGGACTGATGGAGAGATTAAACATATGTCCTGCCTTCCTTCCAAGATGGGACCGATGTGGGGGAGAAGCCAGACCCTGCTCCCACTGCCTCTTTTCCCACCTGCTCTGCCCCTCCTGCTCTCATCTCCATATCCACTGTAAGCTCACTTGCATCTCAGTTCAGATATAACATTGAAAGTGATTAGAAGTAGAATATGGCACGTGGAATATCTCAGAATGCAGTGTCTGCACATTTGGAAAAAAAATCCCTTTCTAATCTTTCTCCATACTATTTCTGAAATTCTCTGTATTTGTTCAGGCCCAAAATAACTGCATTGAAGTCCAGCCTGATGTCCCTGCATCAGAGAAATCTCACTCAGACACCACCCAGAGCCTCCAGCAGAAAGAGTTCAAGCAGGAAGGAGATGGGGCTGCAGCCTTGGAGGGTAAGAGGGAACCCTTCCGGGAGTTTTGGTGTTTTATGCCAGTGTAAATTCCCCTTCAGGGAATCCACAATCGGTTTGAACTTGAGAAGGTGCATATGCGGGATTGTTTGGCCTTGAGATGAGGATATAGGTATGGAATGGATAAAAAGTGGTGAGGCTAATGTCAATATTGTACAGAGATAGGAAAAGTGGAGCTTATGAAAGTTATAATGGAAATTGTGGTATGGGTATGAGGTGGGGGGAGGAAAGAAAAGAGTGAACAGAACTAAAATATGTTAGATGAATGAGTGGATAATATAGAAGGGAGGAAGAGTGAGAAATAGAAAGAGGTTGGGTAAATGTTGCCATAGGTGAATGACATGTATGGAATAAATGTACAAAATGTACTCATATAATGCATAATAATAACAATAACAATAACAATAATAATATCTTTTTAAAAAGATGAGTATATAGGTAGACATTTGGTGTAATTTCAGCATGATTTGCAGTTTTCTTTCTGGCAATACTTCTACATTTGCATACTGTTGGATGGGACTGGAAAATCAGCCCTTCAGTATCTTCCCAGGTGGGATCCAAAGCTAAGAACAGCCATGAAACTGAGCAGGAAGACAAACAGACAACAACAGTAACTTGAGTTAATTATACCAAGTCCAGGACTCGTTTCAGCCCAACCTATTCACAGCACTGGTTGAGATCAAAAGTCCTAAACTCCAAAATGTGACATATTCCTGGGCTGGAGAATTCTCCTGTGTCTATAGGGTCAGTTTTTCATAAGTTTCTTTATAGGACTGCGATTGTAATATCTGAGACGTGTTTATGTGATCAGCTTTCCACCCCTTACTCTTTCTCTCTCCCAGAGGCTGGAATGATGTTGGCAAAACCAGAGTCGTTTCTTCCCCTTTGTGATGAAGTGGAACTGAATCAGGTAAGCAGAAGGATTTCTGGGAGAATCGAGGGCTATAACCTCTTTCACAGAAGCATCTGGATAAGAATCAAGGGAACCGGGACTCAAAAAGATTTCGTTGTGGGTGCCAGGATAAAAAACTCAATGAAGTCTTCTGCCAACATTTGACCAAACAGACACAAAGAGGAGATATAGTAGTCATGGGCAATTTCAACTATCCCAATATTTGCTGGAAAACAAACACGGCCAAGAGTACAAAGTCCAATAAATTCCTCATTTGCCTTGCAGACAGTTTTAGGGTCCAGAAGAGGCAACAAGGGGATTGGCTACTCTCTATCTCATCCTAACAAATGTGGAGGACCTGATTAATGCAGTCAAAGTGGTTGAATCCTTAGGGGCAAGTGACCATGTGCTACTGCAATTTGTGATACAAAGGGAGGCTGAAACTAAGACAAGTCAAACATGCATTCTGGACTTTAGGAGAGCTGACTTCCAAAAAATGAAGGAAATACTGAGCAGCATTCTGTGGATGCCGATACTAAAAGACAAGGGAGTTACGGGTGGATGGGAGTTTTTCAGGAGTGAAATACTCAAGGCACAATTGCAGACAGTGCCAACAAAGAGAAAAAATAGGACAAGTGCAAAGAAGCCATAATGGATGTCCAAAGAACTTCTAACTGTGCTAAGACTCAAAAGAGACATGCACAAGAAGTGGAAACAGGGAGAAATCACCAAAGAAGAATTCAAATGAATAACCAACTCCTGTAGGGAAAAGGTTTGCAAGGCTAAAGCGCAAAACGAGCTCAGGATTGCTAGGGACATTAAAAACAATAAAAAGGTTTTCTTTGTCTACTGTAGTAGTAGAAAAAAAAAAACAAGGAGGCAAGGAGAAGATGGGGAAATGCTGACAGGGGATAGGGAAAAGGCAGAGTTATGTTGGAGGAGAACTCAAAGCTAATCTGACCAAGCCAACAATATGATGCAGCAACTTAGAAGCCTATGGGATTTTGGGCTGCATCCAAAGGAATGTAGTGGCTACATTAAGGGAAGTCACGGTGAGCTTATTTCTGCTTTGGTGAGACCTCACCTGGAATAACACTGTGTCCTATTCTGGGCAACACAATAAAAGCTGGAACATGTTCAGATTTTATTTCTGATTCTACATCTCAATTAAGAACTGGTTCTGACTGTGACCAACCAGACGTTTCTATAAGGCTCAAAGTATGGCACGGAGGACTTAGCCCTTTCCCTTTCAAACAACCAACAGGAATGTAAATCTGTTTTAAAGAGTTTCTTGTAACTATTTTTCTAGTTAGCCCTTATGTGAGAAGGAAATGTATTTTTTTTTCCACCAGGGCCCAATGGCCTTTGAGGACGTGGCTGTCAATTTCTCTTTGGAGGAGTGGGCTCTTCTGAATCCTAATCAGAAAGCCTTGCACTTGCAGATCATGGAGGAGATTCATGGGATGGTGGACTCTCTTGGTAAGGCTCCCACAATGATGGGGATTTCTATTTCAGAAGTCAGCAGCTCTCTGGTGGGAGCAGGATCCTAAATCATCCCAATCACTGAGAGTTCTCAAGGCAGGTCTAATGTGGAATGAATTTACGGACTCTGAGCTGGCAAATGTTGAGCATGAGATTGGTTTTTATTGATTATGATGTATAAGTGATTGTTTTAATTGTTTTAATTACTGTTTATATATGTTTATTTTTATCTTATTGTTGTGTTGGCATCGAATTGTGCCTTTTGTAAGCCGCCCTGAGTCCGCCCTCGGGGGTTGAGAAGGGCGGGGTAGAAGTGCGAGAAGTAAATAAATAAATAAATAAATAAATGTTAGAAATATATGACATAAGAGTAATATTGACTTGGTGCCTAAGCAACAGCCATCTTAGTACCATTTTGGATTCCAGTGGGAAGACTTCCATAACTGGAATCAAGTCCAAGCTCCCTCGCAGCACCAGGGTCCCCTCGAAAACCTCTCAAGAGTGATCGCCCTAGTCCCCCCCCCCTTTCTCCCTCTGTGAGTATGTATGTGAGGTAGAGGAGGGGGTGTAGGGGTGGGGAGAGCAAAAATTCAAAAAGTAACCCAGTAATACTCTCCTGACTTCAGGCACACATTTCCAGCCCCCTGCTTTTGCATTCTGTGTACCCTTGGAAGCAGGGGCGGCTCGTCCATTACGCGAAGTAAGCGGTCGCAGAACACTTTTTTTTGCCAGGGGCGCAGAGGCGCCTGTGTAAATGCCCCTCGACCGCCACTTGAGGAGCGCCTCCTCAGCTCACAACAGCCCTAGCAGTCCGGGGGGAGCCTCGGCTCTCTTGCCTCACTGCCGGGCGATCCTCTTCCCAAAGAGGCCGGGCCCTTGAGCCTTGCCTAGCCCCTCTCGTTCCTGCTCCACCTGGCCACTGGGCGCGCAAGCAGAGCCAAAAGAGAGAGAGAGAGAGCATCTCCGGCTGGAGGTATCTCCCACCTCCGCTCCCTCCTCTGTTTTTGCGCCTACCTTCAGGAAAGGTGGGCATCTCCACCTCTGTCTCTCTCTCTCTTGGTTCCAATGGCTGAGGAGAAAGTCAGGAGAAGAGGTCACTTTTGGTGCACACGCTGGGGGTCTTCAGGCACGCCTCCGGACCCAAAGCGGGCCAGGCAAGGGAGTAAGTGCGGCAAGTGTAGTTACTGGGATGTATAGTTCACCTACAATCAAAGAGCATTCTGAACTCCACCAATGATGGAATTGAACCAAATATGGCACACAGAACTCCCACGACGAACAGAAAATATATATCAATGATTGGTTGGGGGGGGGGGGTGCCAAAATACTGTTGTCTTACCATTGAAAATTACCTATGGCCACCTTTGCTTGGAAGGCTTGGAGAGCCACTGTGTGCCTGAAGCCAAAAGGAGTCTGGAAAATGATGGGAATGAGTGGTTTTGCAAAAGCAGACTTGCTCTTGATGTCTGCTGACATGCTTCCTCCCAGTAACTTGGGCTCCAAGGAAATTGATTGGCTGGAGAGTGGGGCTGGAAAATGGAGCATAAAAAACCTAACTTCCCCTTGCTTTAGATACGCAGACAGAGCTATACATATTTTTATAAAGGTGATATTCCACCTTGTTTTTCTTTCCAGCTCTGCATGTCCGAAGGCCAAGCTCTCTTTGGACGCTGCTGCTCCCAGCACACAAATTGTCCCTTGCCTCAGTCATTTTCAAGATGGTGATCTGTAACATAATGTGTTCTATGTTCTGGGCTTGTGAATGATTGAGGCTCTGGGTTTTTTGTTTACAGTCACATGGGGAGAGAGAACTGGAGATGGGGGGGGGGGGGGGGGGGGGGGGGGAGAGAGAAAGAAAGGAATTGTTGTGAAGTTGGTGGTAGCAGGATAAAGGTTTAGCTAGAGAAAAAGGCGAGGATTTGAATGGGAAGGTGTCCTCTGGAATGTGTCCAGAGGAGGGCGACTAAAATGATCAAGGATCTGGAAAACAAGCCCTATGAAGAGCGGCTTAAGGAGCTGGGCATGTTAGCCTGAAGAAGAGAAGGCTGAGAGGAGATATGATAGCCATGTATAAATCTTTGAGAGGAAGCCACAGGGAAGAGGGAGCAAGCTTGTTTTCTGCTTCCCTGGGGACTAGGACACAATGGAACAATGTCTTCAAACTACAAGAGAGGAGATTCCATCTGAACATGAGGAAGAACTTCCTGACTGTGAGAGCCATTCAGCAGTGGAACTCTCTGCCCCGGAGTGTGGTGGAGGCTCCTTCTTTGGAAGCTTTTAAACAAAGGCTGGATGGCCATCTGTCAGGGGTGATTTAAATGCAATATTCCTGCTTCTTGGCAGAATGGGGTTGGACTAGATGGCCCATGAGGTCTCTTCCAACTCTATGATTCTATGATTCTAAGAGAAATGGGAGAAGGAGACAGAATAAAAAAAACATGCTGGGATTAGGAACATGTATACTGTGGAAGATATGTTACTCAGCTCACCCTTAGAGGCTTCAGGCAGTCAGTGTCAATTGTTAATGAACAAGAAGTGAGAAGAAGGCAGCATTTATATCTTTATATCCTTATCACTCATGCTGAAGAATGATTGTTTCTGTCCTTCTTCTTCACAGCAGATAAATGGAAGAAGAGCAATGTATACACCAAAAGCAGTAAACATTTTGGGCAGAATGGGGGCCTTCCTAGACACCAGCAAACCCACAGCGAAGACGGAGGTTCTGCCAGAGAAAGGCCCTTCCTATGCAATGCATGTGGGCAGTGTTTTAGACATTATATGGCACTTGTGCTTCACAAGACTCTCCATGCTGAGAAAAGACATATTAAATGGAAAGTATCAGCAAAATGTGTTGCTGATTACAAATTGCCACATCTGAGCCAAGAAGAAATCTTTGAAGGAACTGAGGATATCATAAGCCAGGAGTGTGGGAAATCTTTTATCCAGAGTTCACACTTGGAGAAACATGAGAGATTTCACACAGGAGAGAAGCCATACCAATGCCAGCAGTGTGGGAAATGTTTTGCTTACAGTTCAGCCTTGGTGACGCATAAACGAGTCCACACAGGAGAGAAGCCATACCAATGCCGTGAGTGTGTGAAAAGTTTTGCTGACAGCTCAGCCTTGGTGAGGCATAAAAGGCTCCACACAGGTGAGAAGCCATTCCAATGCCAGGAGTGTGGGAAATGTTTTGCTGCCAGTTCAGGCTTGGTGAGGCACAAAAGACTCCACACAGGAGAGAAGCCATACCAATGCCAGCAGTGTGGGAAATGTTTTGCTTACAGTTCAACCTTGGTGAAGCATAAACGAGTCCACACAGGAGAGAAGCCATACCAATGCCGTGAGTGTGTGAAAAGTTTTGCTGACAGCTCAGCCTTGGTGAGGCATAAAAGGCTCCACACAGGTGAGAAGCCATTCCAATGCCAAGAGTGTGGGAAATGTTTTGCTGCCAGTTCAGGCTTGGTGAGGCACAAAAGACTCCACACAGGAGAGAAGCCATACCAATGTCAGGAGTGTGGGAAATGTTTTACTCAGAGTTCAGTCTTGATGAGCCACAAAAGACTCCACACAGGAGAGAAGCCATACAAATGCCAGGAGTGTGGGAAATTTTTTACTCACAATTCAGCCTTGGTGAGCCACAAAAGACACCACACAGGAGAGAAGCCATACAAATGCGAGGAATGTAGGAAATGTTTTTCTGAAATTTCAGACTTGGTGAGGCACAAAAGACTCCACACAGGAGAGAAGCCATACCAATGCCAGGAGTGTGGGAAATGTTTTGCTGACAGTTCATACTTGGTGAAGCACAAAAGACTCCACACAGGAGAGAAGCCATACCAATGCCAGGAGTGTGGGAAAAGTTTTGGTTACAGTTCACACTTGATGAGCCACAAAAGACTCCACACAGGAGAGAAGCCTTACCAATGCCAGGAGTGTGGGAAATGTTTTGCTTACAGTTCAGCCTTGGTGAGGCACAAAAGACTCCACACAGGAGAGAAGCCATACCAATGCCAGGAGTGTGGAAAATGTTTTGCTCGCAGTTCAAGCTTGGCGAGACACAAAAGACTTCACACAGGAAGAAAAACCGGTGCTTGGCTGCTATGTCGGACTGGATGAGAGCTAACAAACTGAAACTGAATCCAGACAAGACAGAGGTCCTACTGGTCAGTCGCAAGGCCGAACAGGACATAGGGTTACAGCCTGTGCTGGACGGGGTTACACTCCCCCTGAAGACGCAGGTTCGCAGCTTGGGAGTGATCCTGGACTCATCGCTGAGCCTGGAACCCCAGGTCTCAGCGGTGGCCGGGAGAGCTTTTGCACAATTAAAACTTGTGCACCAGTTGCGCCCGTACCTTGGGAAGTCTGATCTGGCCACAGTGGTCCACACTCTTGTTACATCCCGAATAGACTACTGCAACACACTCTACGTGGGGTTGCCCTTGAAGACTGTTCGGAAACTTCAACTGGTCCAGCGAGCGGCAGCCAGATTGCTCACCGGAGCGTCATACAGAGCACACCACACCCCTGTTGTGCCAGCTCCACTGGCTGCGGTTCAGTTCCGAGCACAATTCAAGGTGCTGGTTTTGACCTACAAAACTCTGTACGGTTCCGGTCCAGTGTATCTGTCTGAACGTATCTCCCTCTACGTCCCACCCCGGAATTTGAGATCATCTGGGGGGCCCTGCTCTCAACCCCACCGCTATCCCAAGTGAGGCTGGTGGGGACGAGGAGCAGGCCTTCTCAGTGGTGGCCCCTCACCTGTGGAACTCACTCCCGGGGGAAATTAGGGCATCAACATCCCTCCTCTCCTTCAGGAGGAAGGTAAAGACGTGGTTGTGGGACCAGGCCTTCGGGCAATCTACTAACTAGATAAGGACAACCAGACGAATAGGACTGACAGGACTGACAATTGTGGAATTGGAATTTGAACTATGAGATAGCGAACGCTGACCGGCAACAAGGAATAATTGGTTTGTATGGATTTTTATTTTTCTTAT